AGTCTAAGCAGGCAACAAGGAAGTGGAGTAGACCTGATGACTAAGACCTATCTACAGTATAGGTACCTGTGGATGATCCTAAGAGACCAAGTCTGAAGAGACAGTCCCCAGGCAGAGTAGGCCTTATATTTATACCTCTGTGGTGGAACCTGCTAGAACATCTTGCTTACTCAGCCTAGTCAGGTGATCAGGTCATATGACCAAGGATGAGGTCATATGAGGTCATGCACAGCCATGCACAGCAGGTCACCTGACCATCCAATCCTTCCAGCAGGTTCCAGCACATGCCAAGGTATACCAGCTACTTCCATGTCATAAAGGCTTAGTCATGTCTCTTGACCAAGCGATGAGCTGGTGCCCTGACATCACCCCCCCTTCTAGACATGCTGTCCCAGCATGTTGATACTCCTTCTTCTGCTTTTCCCTTCTTCTTTCCAGATGTCCAATCAAAGAGAACCCTTTTAGGTGGTATAGTATAGTTAATGAGTGGTTGGAAGTGAAGCCTATCAAAGGTGATGGCTGAAATTTAATTGGTATTTTATTTGACTATAGAACACAAGACACACTTATCAAATAAAACAAACAAAAACATGAACTGTTACACAAAGTGTATTATCATGTAAGTGAATCAGGATTCAAAGGGGATTGCAGGGTATGCTTAAAGAGAACTTAATTGGTGTAGGTCAGAGCTCAGAGCCTACAGCACCCTGCTCTTCACAGAAAAGTGAAGACCATGCAAGACATGAACAAAACTTGACATCACCAAGTGAACACCATGCCCGCTTGCCCTATGATTGCACCCCCATTCCACAACTAGTATTTAGCCATCAGAGTGCTAAATTGGAGCACCAGAGACCTAACCCATTACTTCAAAGGCCATTTGGACCAGCTGCCACAAATCTTGCTACTGTCAATGCAGTCTCTATACCATCACTCATTCCTCCTATGCAAACATTATCTCATCAGAAATATCTTGCTGAAAGGGCTTCTCAGCAGCATTGAAATCGGTCTGCCTTGCAAGCCCACAGGGATAATGAGTTTGGAATGCCTTTTGGTCATCTAGACTTAGTGGAACTGCAGCTAGAAGAGCTCCAGCTACCACATCAAGAAGGGAATGATCTGGGACTTGGAGGGCAAAATGAGCAGGGGAAGAATGAAGTAATTGAGGAAGAACAAAGGCAGCAAAGAGAACTGGAGGCACAAAATGCAATACAAGTGTTGCAACCCATGCATGGCAACCACATGAAGTGCAGCAGTATGCAGAAAAGGCTGCTTGCAATCACCACAAAGTGATTACCTAGGCAGGATGGATAGGCTCTGTGCCTTCTGTCTTGCTTTACACTTCATTAAAGAATGTGCAGGACTCAACCATTGCAGAGCCAATATTCACAAAATGCTGTCTATGTGGTCAAATACAGCTCCCTGATTTCTTGCCAGTGCCACCAGAGCTAGCAAGACTGATGGCCTCTGATGGTGAGCATGCAAGGCACTCGAAAGAGAATATCCAGCAGTATAATCATGCACACTCTTTTGTTTCACTTGCCACAACTAGAAGTCATGCAATTCCACAAGCAGAAGGTATACAGTCTTTTTCTATACAAGGCAGATTCTACCCTCACTATGGACCAGCTCACCCAATTGGAGAGACACACCCAGCATACAATGAGCTATACTTTCTGGACCCATAGGTGGCCAACATGGAATGTGCATGATGCAACATGAATCTTAGACCACAAATCCTGTGGGAGCTGGGTGAGGTCCTGCAAGAGAAACACCTTTATGCAGAGCAATTTCAGCATGCATTTGAGGTTCTGAAGGAACAGGAGAGGCACAATATAGAGGCTGGAAGACCCAATGAAGTGGTGGAAGTATGCCTGCATTTTGACCCAAAGCAAGACCAATGCCACTATAACTTGCCAACTGTGGAAGAAGTTGGTATTGTCCTCCCTAATACACTCACAAATGAGTGAAGGGACTTTGTGCTACAAAACCACACAGATGGACAGCTCACAATTATGAGCACTGGTAACCCTGCATATATGCTGTTGCATTATGTGTTGGCATTCCCAAATGGTGAACATGGATGGCATTGGGCTATACCAAAGGTTGGGCAGGCTATATAGCACAATCAGAGCAAGCAAGATGGGCTGGAAGATGAGCAAGAAGATGATGCAGAAGTCCAGGGAATGTCCTGAGGAACAAAGGTCACAGAAATGGAGTATTATTGCTACTGCCTTCATTTTTGCAACCTTCCATGGGCATTCCACCTTTTCTGCTGTGGAAGGCTATTTCAGCAGTTCATTGTTGATGCCTAGGCCTGTGTGGAGCAAGCACATCTGTGTTGGATTGAATTTAACCAAAGAACAATCTGAGCAGAAGTGTATAATGGCTTAGCAGATGCAGTCATAAATAATGACCACACACATGAGCTTTCACAAGTTGGCAGGCATGTTATTCTGCCTTCCTTCTTTGTCTCCAGTGGTTGCTTTATGTACCAGCTATACCAGGACTCCATGGCTATTGTTCACTGGGCTGGATGCCCTGACATCTTCTTGATGCTCACTGCAAATCCAAAATGGCATGAAATTGTTGAGAACCTCCTTCCTGGCCAGATAGCTGTCAGGGTAACACCTGCAAATACTACCACTAGGCCAAAAGAGCCTCAATATCATGGTTAAGTGATATTGGTTGCAGGTTGCTATATATGCTATACTGGGTGTACCTGTCAGGGGACATCCCTAAAATCAATTGTGAACAGCTGCACTGGATAACAATCAGAGCACAGTCATATGGCACGACACCCCAAACAACAGCTGATACTACAATCACCCAACTCCAGGAAGGACAGATCCCAGAACATGAGACATTGGTCATAGATTGTACGGAACTGACCAGACAAGAGACACAAGGTGCCTGCCCTAAGCAAGCTGTATAGTCAGCCACAGACTTTGCTTCCTTTTTACTTCCATACCTAGACATATATAGAACCCTAGGTATAGCCCCTGTAGCTCTTTAGAGCTAATCTCTTAGGAACCCCATGGTCCAAGGTCATTAGGTTCTAAACACAAAGCTTTAATCATTCCGAATGTGCACACAACACACACACAATTGTGCCTGTTGGCTGCCGATCCCCACTTACTCTATAACACTGCTGTCAATCACTCCATTTGTGAACAAATGTTGAGGTATTGATTGACATACAACTCACTACTCTCTGCTTTGCTCATCACCTGTTCAGTTATTTGATCATCAACAATTGTTGGATCATGTTGCCCTCACAGTTCTGTACCCAACATTCAAGGCAGCATGCAATGCTTTAGGGCTACTTGTTAGGGCAACACAGGCTGACTAAGTCTGCTCACCTAAGAGTGCCAAGAGTCTAAGCAGGCAACAAGGAAGTGGAGTAGACCTGATGACTAAG